TCTGTCAAGTTTCTTCATTAAATTTTGAAATTTATTGTTACTAATTCTTTTTGTTTTCATTATTTAATTATAATATCTTTGGGAAGGGTTATTAATTGTAATTCTGTAAATTTTTGACTAAAATTTAAGATTTAAGTTAGGTAAAGAACATTTCATTTTGTTCATCAGAAGTTTTCTACAACATAAGTGTTTTAATAATGTCAAGAATTGTGGCTAATTGTTGTAATTGTAACTAATCAGTAGCATCTAAAATTGATCACAATTTTCAGAAAGAATTAACTACAGTATGTAAACAAAGAGAAGAAGATGCTGAATCTGCCAGAAAAGAACATCAGAAGCTGGCAGAAATCAATAAGACAATGAAGGAAGAATTTATGCAAATTAAAGATGAGTTGAATGCTGAACGCAAACGGATCACTGATTTAGGTAATTCTCGTGAAAGTTTTTGTTAATTGTAATCCGTAAATCAGTTATTTTGTACAGGCTTTTTTTTTTAAAAAAATAGATAGCATTTTATTTTTTGAATGTGTAAAGATTAGTTTCTGGAAAATGTATTGCATTTTCGAATCTTTCAGTTCGAAATTTCAAAAAAGCATACCGCGAGAAACTGATAGGCCTATAATATCAGTACCTAAAGCTAGTATACTTGTGAATAAGAATAAACGTTATTAATCATATTTGTAAGTATTTGAAAACTTGAAATTTATTTACTAATTTCAAAATTATGCAAGTATATAAAAAATAATTTTAGATTTAGAAAAAGTTCGTTTTGTGGACGAAAGTAAAAAATTAAAAAGTGAGAACGAACAACTTCAGAGTGAAGTTCGTTCTTTGAGAATGGAGCTGGTAGAACAAGCTGAACTGATGGAATCGAAGCAAAAGGTAGAATTTGACCTGAGATTATCTTCAATCTTTTCTGAAGCTTTTTGCTTTTCATTCTTGCGTAATTAAAAAATGATTACAAACACATGATTTTTATCATCTTTAAATAAATTAATAACTCACAAAATGGCCCTTCAAGAGTATTATTTCATTTTTTGGATATTTAAATATCAAATTAGAATATGCAATGAGTTGGATTATTTTTTATGTTGTAATGATACTGATAATAGAAATAATTTTATAGTTGAGGGAATTGACAGCAGAAAATGCACGTTTAGCGGGTCAAGTATTGCAAGAACGTAATCGAATAAATGAAGAACTGAATATACACAAGGAAGAACTTGCGCAGTTTTACGATGAACAAATTGAATTGTTGAAAAGTAAAGAAAAAGTAGTCCAAGAAGAAAATGAAGAATTGAAAAAGTTAAAGGAAAATTTGGAGGGAAAACTGTCTGAACGTGAAAACGATTTGAAGTTAGCATTTGACAGTGAAATGACAATATTAAAAAATGACTTGATAAATATTCGCAAAGAAAACGTGGAATTAAAAAATGAAAACGTACGAATAATGGATGAGTCAAAAAAGATGTTTGAAACGAAAGAACGCGAAAAAAGGTTATTGCTTTAATTATGCTCAGTTATTTGCATTTAATTTCATTTTTTATCCGTTTATACTGCTTGATTTGGATTTGATTTGGTTTTATTTGATTTGATCTGTTTTATTTGGTTTGATCTGTTTCATTTTGTATCATTTATTTAGGTCATTTTTTTATGTGTTATTGTAGTGATAATGAGAACATGAAGATGTGATGTCTAATTTTTTTTCAATGTAATTTTTATAGTATTTTATACAGATCTCATTTTATTTATATATCATGAAAAATGTTTCGGGAATGTTTTTATCACAAACTGTAGTTGTATACATATTTCTGGTAATTTGACAGTCATTGAGAGCATTTTTTGGAATTTCAAACCAAACAGAAATCTGTCTTTAAACAACAATTTTCAATTTTCAGATTCTATGAAGAAATGCAAGAAGAAGCTACCAACAGCAACAAAGTATTGCTAGAGAAACTTGAAGATACTGAAAAAAAATTGAAAGAATTAGAAAGCATGATGTTGAGGTTCGGGAGTTTTTTGATATCTGATTAGCATAATCTGTAAAATCAGTTTCGAAGTAAATAGTTGTAATCTATATATAATTGATTGTTTTTGATTTATGAATAAATATCTTATAAAGATTCATTGTTCATTTCAATAAACTAAATTTATTATTATATTAAGAGTAATAATTTTAAGTAATTCGTTATTCGACTGAAAAAGTAGCACAATTCATCTGACACTATTTAAGGTTACAAGCTAACCAGAATGCTCCCACACCTCCACCTCGAAAAAGTACTGCAAAGGGAGCAACTGATGTTGACGAATCACAAACACTTTTGGCAGATGAAAATAAAAAATTGAAGAATGATCTTGAAATGTAAGTCAACATTTTTACGCTTAGAATTTATTTAGTGCCAAGAAATGCTTGTAAATTTTATTTCTGTGAATCGGCATAATTCATATGCACATTTTATTGATTTATTCAAATTTATTCATAATTACTTTCACTTAAATGATTATAAGTTTTTAATTACTTAAGTGAATTCGGATTTTCTGAGTAATTGTAAAACATTCCAAAGATCTTTTTTTTTCTAAAATGCAAAAGTTTGACCCCTCTTCTATTGGTATTTTTTTCTGTGCCATTAATTCATGCATTCAGTTCCTTCATATAATTTATTTTCTAAATGAAGTGTGTTTACTCAACGTATTATCCATCACAATCTTTTACATATAGCTCACCTTTCTATTAAATCATTTTCCTTCCTCTTTCAGACGTGTAATTTTGCGTGTTTCTGTTTTTTACTAAAAAGTAAAATTAGATATTTTATAATATAACCATATATTTTAAACTTTTAAAATTGACGTATTAATAAATAGCTCCGATGTTAACAGAGTTGAGTTTTTTTGTAGTACAAAAAATAAGCTTATATTAAGTTCAATTTTTGGAGTGAAGAAATGAAAAGTGAGAAAAATCTCGATTATTTTCTTTAGTTTATTATAAATCGTATGAATAGCAAACGATTTTAATCTGTATATTAAGCTTGTACTTGACTTCAAGCTGATTAGAGAATTGCTTAAATGCATAATTGATAAAGATAAGCTGATTTATTCACTTTACACTTTTGTTGCGTTAAGTAATCACTTTACAAACAAGAACAGCTGTTTGCTAAGTAAGAAAAGTAACAAAAGTGTCATACTCTTCACTAATTGTTGATAGATTTTCTAGCATTTTTGTAAGATTGCATTAGATTGAACTAAGTCGAATACATTTTCGCTCAAATATTCTTCATTTATTAATGGGTGAATAGTGAGAGTAAAATGATTGTAACATTTCTTGGATGATTGTGTCATGTGAAGTTTGCTTAGGATAACATCTCAGGAAGTGTATATTAATTCAACGCAAGGAAATGTACAAAAGTTGTGTAATATGTATTAATGCAGCAGAAGTGAGGAATATTAGTCTTAAATTTGGTATGGACATGGTCATTATTAATAAATGAGTGGTGAGTGTGAGTGAATGGGTGTTTTTAGAGTTGTAAATCTTTTACATGAATAATAAACACATGTATACACAACAACAACACTAATTAATAATGATAATAATAATAATAATAAAATTTGTCATTCAAAATGTTTGTATACCTTGACATATATATACCTCTTAAATGCATTTATATGAAGTAACATTCAATGTCATTAATTTGTACAGTATTTTTTACGTCTCGAGAAACAATACTAGAAAAAAAAGAAGAAATTATGTGAGAAGAAAATTGACATTGAACAGTTAGCATTTATTTTACATTGGGCTAATGAATATTTCAAATTCTTTTACGTAAAAAAATAGCTACGTGTAATGTATTCTTTTTGTAAATAATCAGTAGAGAACAATAACGTTTTGTTATTTTTTTCTGTGAAAGTTATT